GCTGATGGTTGCATGTGCCCAAAACATTATCCCAGTTTTGATTCTTGGCCTCAAAATCACATGGCACGCTAATATGCCAACTAAAATTCTTTTCGTGTAAGGATCATCTACCCTCTGATATGACAATATTCTGTAACGAAGGAATACACGACCAATTTGGAGCAACAGAATCCGTCGATTTACAAATCTTTGTTGTCTTTTTCGCCATCTTATATACTTCCTCTTGCCTTCTCATATATATAGTACTTCTCATTTTGTTCCCCATTTTGCTTTATGTATTTTCTCTAGTCAAGTAGTTCGTCGGATATCTTCCCCTGATTGCTAAATAAAAGCCTTTTCCTGTTCACATTTCACATACTCTTGTACCTAGAAGTTCTTGCAATTACAAGTAACAGAGTAAGTTCAGCTTAGAATATTGATGAAAAATGATCGTCAAATCTCTCTTGACCAATGTACATAACCTTTACCAAACCAATTTGACTTACTAACTCAGTCTAGTCACTAATTAAAATGACAAGGAATCGTAATGTTCAGAAAGTCTCTGCATATCCGACGCAGTAGGTATCCAAATGTTCCTTTGGTTTAACCCTATACTTCGATTTGTCTTCTTCATACAAAACTTACCAAAACAAGGTAAAAATTGGCGGCATTTGCTAACTAGAGTGGGGAAACAAAAAAGATGTTATGAAAGTACTAGGTTATGAATTTAGGTCACCAATCATGAGCTAGTGTTACTGATATCACTCTCTTATTATTATTATTATTATTATTATTGATTTGCATAGAAGTACCAAAGTTGCCTTCGTGTCCAAATAAATGCTAGCTAACAAACGCAATTTGAACATTTGGTAGGAGTTAGCAGGTGTTAGACGATCAACATGTAATAGCTCTCGTTGAAGACAAACACACTACGGTAAAAATTAAGCAAGATAAAAGTGAAACTGAGATTAGCCACGTACTATAGTCCTATTCTAGTCAATAAATGCGGCCGCAGTACAGAGGTTCACATTTATGGCCTAATTGATTCTTTTGTTTCCCATGCAAAAATGATTTCTCATTTAAATTAAGCATCAAAAGAGTGTGCTAAAAAAAGCATCAAAAGAGAGAACATATCATGAGATTCAAAGACAACTGAAGGAGAACAAAACATCCTGAAAAGGCTAAAAAAACTATACGGAGATAAAATTAAAGGTTTAATAGAATTTAAGGGGAAACGAGATAAATGTTTCCTCCTCAAAATTTAGAGTTACTAGAAGAAGACATTATCAATTTATGAAGAAGAAATCTCTGTATCTCACAAGGACAAACTTAAATCAACAACAGAATCAAAACAGGGAGAAACCAAAAACCCTTACAAGAAGCCAAAACACAAACTTAAACATAATTGAGGAGAAAAAACAAGATATGGGTCCTCTCAAAAATCAAAATTGGACATGACCCAAATCCCAAAAACCCCAATAAAACAAGCTTAACATAATTGATTACCTGCAATGACACTTTGAGGAGAAGTCATAGACTTGTGCATCTCAACGAGCTGCTCACAAATCGCAGCAAACATTGATATTTGCTGCCTCAAGACCTCAATTTGCTCATCAGTCATCACCTTAACAGGACCCATCATCATCATCAACTCATCAACTTCTCTCTTAATGTGATCACCAATGTTTCTGTTCGAAGAAGAAGAAGAAGGGGAAGCCTTTGGCCAGTCCATTGAATTCTACGGACAATGAACAGAGGAGACAGAGGACAATCTTGCTCTTTTTATAGAGCAGTTTGATTTCTTTCCTTGAGGTATATTTGTCTTGCTTGAAATAAAAAATAAGGGTCCTATTATGAGATGCATTGGTATCATGATTGATATGATTGGATTTGATTGAAGTGAGAGGAAGTGAGAGAGAGAGCATAGAGAGAGAGAGAGAGATTGGGTGTATTTTAATTATATTATTTTAGGTATTAAGGAAACTTTTGCTTTAACCAAGGTTAAATTTGGTAGAAGAAGGGTGTCATATAATTAGGGGTCACATCTTTTAACTACCTACAAATTTAGAGGGCATTAAACACCATTTGACTGTTGGTGGAGTATTAAGGTTTATTAGGAATCAAATCTCTCCCCCCTCTCTATTTTTATTTTGCACTTTTTACCTCATAATGAATTAGTCGTTTTATTTCCTCTTTTTGGGATTGCGATGGGATTTCTGGTCTCTCCTATGGGCTCTAGGCTTTGACCTCTTTGAAGCGCGTTTGGTATGTTCTAGCCTTTCTAGGCTTTTGGAGTAGTTCTTGTTGTTGTTCGGCCGCAAGTTAAAATCGAAAATAAATCTAATTTAATAAGAGATGATTTATAAGTTTAATTATGATCAGTTCATTTTTATGATAATAGCCTTGGATATATCTCATAATAGAATTTTAATTTAATAAAAAAAGAGTAGAGTTTCTTTACTCTTTTGACTTTAAAAAATATAAACAAAGAGGGGGGGAAAATTCATGGAAAAATATATATATAGGCCCCTCTAAAAAATACATAAATAAATAAAAATAATAATAAAATAATAATAATAATAGGGAAAGGAAGAGACTGCATGCATCCTTAAAACAATATCAATTAAGTATTGTGTTACTCCGTACATTCCCCTCGGTCAGTTTACTGCACTCTTTATTTTTATTTTTATGTTTTACGTTTAGTGTATGTGATTCTATTCTTATTATCTATGTATTTTTGGGTTATGTTCTTAATTAATGTCTTATCAATGAAGCATGGAAGTAGTTAATTTTACTAAATGTTAGTGTTTGCTTTATCTCTCTCAGTTTGTGAGAGTGGTTTAAATAGTTGAAAGTCTTGGGTTAATAACTAGAATAAGTTGCATGATTATCAAAAAAGTAGGCATAGGTTATGAGTTGTTTAATTATGCTTCTATTTGTTGGCTTCATGACAGAGTTAAAACGTTTTCTCCCTCATTTTTTCCCCAATAAAAAAAGTTTTACAGCTAAAATACTAAACATTTAATTTGTTGTATATATATATATATATATTGTTTATAATGATGAAAAAAAAAGAATGCTAACCTTTTAAAAGGACTCAAGCATATAGTTGGGGGTGGCGTGGGCGTCAAATGAATTAGGCATCCACCGCCCACCTTAAGAAATGATCGGGCCGCTCCAAACGGCGCTAAATATGCTCCTACCTTCCGTCTTTAACAATTTTTATTTTTATTTTTCAGACCTCTGTTTTGTTTGTTTCTTGTCACATTAATCTTTTCAAATCCCTATAGTCTTTTCTATTGGTTGTTCATTGTAATCTAGCGATGAATTAGCTGTTTCAACTTAGGTCATTCTTATGTTTTCTGACTAGAGATTGGATAAGTGCTAAAATGAATAATTTTTAAAGCAAAAGTTATACGAGCAACCACGAGACAATGTAATACGCATAATATCAGTGGCGGATCAAAATAAATTTTCTTAGAATAACATACGACAAATATTTATTTACCTAAAAATAAAAATATAATATTATAAAACTATAGTCCTGAATCGGAATACTTCAACTTGATTGGTTGAGTTTTTAGTGTTTGGCCCCATTTGATCTGATTGTTTGAGAAGTTAAATGTGCTACTAATTTCAAATAGGTTAAATACTTAAATGCAATGGGCTACTCGTTATGTAAGGGTTGGGTGCGTAAATGATTTAAATTTAGAGGAGACAACTTATAATTACAAGGAATTAAATGCTCTTCTTGGATTTTGAAACCAAGAATTGGTTTAATTGCGTGTTAATTAATCATCATAAACTTAACTTTATATGTAGCTAGTCAGCTCATTATGTTCATATAATGAAGCTTTAGAGGGCATGGATCCACTAGAATGCTACTTTCAACTCATGAAGAATTCATGATGCAGCTGCTTATATTTAGGACAAGATACATAGAATCAAAGTTTTGCTATTTGAGTAACTAAGAAGGTCTAGCCAAGTTGGTAAGTGTGAACACACGTGAATGGATAGAATTGTGAAAGGTGTGTGGGGGCCATGTGAAAAATCACGTTCTCAAGCAAGTGAACAGGGCCACGAATTCAACTTGAATACCGCGTGGGAGGCTATTGCCCAGCGGGTTTCGAAGAGGTTTCGAAGTGCCTCGTGAAGAGATTGCAGAGGCAGAGTCATGTGGGGGGCACAAACCGCGTGGACTTTGTTTAGTTCAGCGGACAAAGAGGCCCACCCGAGATTGAGGCTTATAAATACACGTTGGTTTCTAGGTTTTTTTGTGGGTGTGCGAAGTTGAGGCAGAAGGGAGAAATATGCAGGCGGCTATACTAGGAGCAGTGCAAGGAGCCGACTTTTGGGTAAAAGAGGGTTTCGTTACTGCAGAGGGCAAAACGCAGAAGAAAGTTTGGCTGTTGTCCTTTGGGTTTTGGCTGCTGTTCTTTGAGTATTTGGCTGTTGTCCTTTGTATGAGGAATTTGAGAGATTGTTTGAGGGTTTAGATTGAGTGATTGTAAACCCTAGTTGTATCTCTCCCTCTAATAGTAGATCTCTCCCTCCTTACCCCGTGGACGTAGGCAATTTGTCGAACCACGTTAAATTTGTGTTCTTGCCGTGATTTGTAATAGCTTGTAGGTTCCCTCGACAAGTCAGTCCTAGAACTGATGAGAGGAAGAGCTGATATCTCACTTTGTTGAGATATTTTGCTTTCGGTTCTTGTTTCCTTTGTGAAACAGGAATTCCGTTGTAATCTTACTCTCTTGTTGTGCAGTCGAGGTGCTGTCGAAATTTCCACTGCACACAACAAGTGGTATCAGAGCTCCGGGTTGGACTTGGGAGCTTGTTCGAAGGATTCGCTGTTGGATTCTTATTTGAAGAGTTAGATCGACAACATGGGAGAGTCAAGCACATCAGGTTCGTCTCTTACGAAGACGATACATAGTTTGAGTATCAATAACATGAAGATTGATATTCCGAAGTTCGACGATAAGATCAATTTCGGTTTGTGGAGGTGCCAGGTAATGGATGCGTTGGACGTTCAAAACTTAGAAGAGACTCTTGAGTTGCAAGAGAAACCTACTGATATGAAAGAAAATGTTTGGAAGAAGATGAATAGTAGGAAGTGTGGAGTTATTCGATTATGTTTGACGCCGGATCTTATTTATGATGTGATTAACGAGACGTCGGCGAAGAAGATGTGGGAAACACTCAATAAAAAGTAACTTACTAAGAGCATTGAGAATCGACTTCACTTGAAGAAGAGGTTTTACCAGTTCAAGATGAAGAGGAGAGTTTCCATCAGGGAGCATATTAACAACTTCACGAAGCTACTTCAGACATGGTCAATGTGGATATCATTATTGAGGATGAAGACAAGGCGATGCTACTTTTGTGTTCGTTGCCTGAGGATGATTATGATACCTTTGTTCTCACTATGATTAATAGAAGAACTACTGTTAGTTACAAGGAGGTGACCTCGGCGTTGGTGAATTATGAGTTGAGGAAGAGTGTTGACGAACCCTCCGAGAAGGCATCGGGAGATGCATTAGTAGTTCAAGGCCGTGGTTCAAACCGAAGAAGGAGGTCGCAATCTAGAGGGGCACATCGTGGAATTCGTAGGAATCAGTGTGCCTTTTGTAAAAAAGATGAACATTGAAAAGCTGAATGCCCAAAGTTAGATCGAGCCGAGAAGAATAAGGGGAAAGCTATACAAGCTTCAGAGGTGAATGTTGTCAAGACTAGTGATAATAATTTAGATTCGGATTCTTCAGGCTATTCATTGTCTGCACTACCGTCAGTTTGTGTTGTTAACTCTACAGAGTGGATGTTACATTCGGGTGCTTCTTACCACGTTTGCCCTAGGAGGGATTGGTTCTCTAGCTTTCAGAAGTTAGAAAGAGAGGATGTTGTGTTCATGGGTAATGGACATGCCTTCTCTATTGGTGGTATTGGTACCGTTCGGATTAGGATGTGTGACGGGATGACTCGGAAGCTGAAGGAAGTGAGATTCGTTCCTCAATTGACGAAGAATATCATTTCGCTTAGAACTTTGGAGGCAGCTGGTTATAGGGTGATCTTGGTGGATGCATGTTTGAAGGTCACATTGGGGTTTATGATTGTGATAAAGGGCGTCAAAAGGAGCAATTTGTATTATATTCTTGGAAGCACAGCAATTGATAGGAAGCTGACGACTTCATCAGATTCGGCTAGACTGTGGCGTTGTTTGATGCTGTGTTATTTGATTGGTAATGCCATGCATAGATTATTGAGGAGTGCTTTGACCTGCAGTTTGAAGTCCTGTGAACCCATTGGTATGAGCAAGAAGACCGATGTGGAGTTTGGCACTTCTATCCATCATCCGATGGGTGTTCTGAGGGGTGTTCATTCAGGTATTCGGGGGCCTTCCAAGGGAGCATCATTGGGAGGTAATAGGTATGTGATTTTCACAGTTGTGGATTATTCTAGGCATTGGTGGGTTGCAACCAAGTCACATTGGTGTGAAGTCCTAGAAGCCCGCAACAGATGGAGGAAGTGTATTGATAGAAAGGTAACCCGACGTTCTGATTATGGTAGGGGTTCTTTGTTGTGTTTGTACCGAGCTCACGGCAATTGGAGACACTTCATTGGTGTGGAAACTTTGAGACGACGAAACGAGATTGCAGATTTGGTGAGCTGTTCCTTTCTGGAGAAGGATAGGCATTTGATGCCGAGCATTGGCATTGGTGTGCGGGCTACGACATGTTTGGGCCATCTTATGCATAGGTTGCCGACTGCTGCATGTAGAGATTTTGGATCTGGTGGAGCTGCTT